TGATTATCACAAAATAGCTTGTATCTCTTTGGAACATTACTGTATGTTAGATTTCAGCATAAATCTATTCACGCTTAGCTAGGTATTCATAAGGTACTCCATAAAAGAGAGGCTTAAAAATTCTGGAATGAACATGTAGAAATCCACATTGCTATTTCAGCTTCTCTCGCATCCATATAAAGTCACTGAAGTGCTGATATGACACACATTCCTCACCAACTCACTTTGACCTTGGAGCGTAACTATTACTAGATACTTTTTAGAAAGATTTCTGGAAGTACAGGCTTCAGAAACTTAGTAAATGCTGAATAAAAAAACACAAATACTAAAGCTGATGCATGTCTGCTCCAGAAGATCCCCTCAAAACTTTCTGGATTTTGCCAGATGTCCTCTGAATGATACAGAGGTTTAAAGCATTTTCAAAGAGCCACAAATCCTGTGTTACAGGCATGCCAATGAGAGAAATTAAATTATCTGGGAGAACTTCACAGTGAAAATGATCAGCCTTCCTCTCCTGGCTCCAACCTCAATATTGGAGAACGTTAGCAAGATGTAGGTGAATATAAGAAGGGAAAATAAAAGCTGAGGAATCCTGCAAAATGCTTGAGATCAAGAAACACGTAAACACCTTTCTTCAAGATCTCTTTAGAGGACTTGTCTGCATGCTTGCCTTAAAATAATGTTAATTCTTGTTGCATCCTATTTTGGTGAGTTTGCTCAACTTCGGATAAGCAGGTGTAGCATGCTGAGCATACTCACAAGAGGATACGGTGGAAGGAAGCTGAATATGTGGGAAGGCATTGGGTGAATTAAAAACATACCTCATCGTTGCTGCGCTCTGGAGTTTGTGATACTAAACTATCATGCAGCTGCAAGGCATATCCAAAGGCATATCATGACACCAGAAAGAAGCATGTCTGGAAAAGGTGTGACAATAGTTCTTTCATCTCGTATGTTATTTGAAATGCTTTTATGTATCTTGGTATACCTATACCTGAAAGTTTACAGTTTCCTATGTATCCCATGTCTACCCAGAAACAAGACCGCAGAGGAAAAAACAAATTTGAAGGACACATTCAGGGTTATATAAAATAACGGGTTAGTTTGGCTGAATCACTTCCGATAAGATTGCAACTCCATGTCTTTCAAGGAGTCCGAGATGACACATCTGTATTTCCAGAATGTAACTGCTCAGGGCAAAAAGAAAAAAAAAAACACTTTATGTGCTTATATTAAAGCAGTCATGTAATAGAACCTGAGACGTGTTCATCCTTTACGTTGGATTTTAAGTTATTGGTATAGTAACTGAATGTAATTAGTAATGCTTTTTCACTACAAATAATCTGAGTGTCTCTCTGGAAATAGGGCCAAACTGAAGTCTTTTCTCTAGAAATAAATGTTACCTTGTTAATACTTTATTCACTCTCCAGTAATGTTTTGCATCTGTACTCTGCTTATATACGCAGTTCTAGACAGGGATCAATATTTATTTCATCTTCTCAAAAACCTCTTTAAAAAGCTATGCTAATTGGATCGGACCTCCAGCAAAGATGAATTTGTGCTATTTAATGCTGGTGAGGCGAGTGCTCACTCTCATATGGATCTCAGTGTGTAAATGCAACGGGCCCTGAGGACATCCTGAGCTTCTCCATCTTTTAACAAGTCTATGTCCTCCCATCCGCAAGGCCCAGCTGCGTAGAGCTAATGGGGAGGACTGGCTCCGCTCCATTTTACTGCTGTTTGTTCCTCAGCACACCTAAGGGGGCCCACCTACACTAGGACGAATTGCATTAGCTTATTACCCTTTAAATCTCGTGGTGATAAGGAGCACGGCAGTCTGTGCTCCAGTATTGCCCCACTCGAGAGAGGTCTAAAGTCAACGATACAGTAAACAGTAGCGTGGTGCAAGGGAAAGATGATGTAACCTTACACGTAAGTCAAGGATAAGTGGAAACAGCCTGCATCCCAGGGCAATTATTGTGAAACGCGATGCTCCAGACAATGAATGGACTCAGGTTCTCATTGTCTGAAAAGCCCTTTCCCCACCTCTTTCCTCATGATTTTGTGACACAAACTCCACCCACTTGGCAGACAAAAGAAAGAAAAAATAACAATGGAAACTAATAGCTAAGCAGTGGGCCTAAGCAGATGCTGTTTCATTACTGTCAGTTGCAGCACATCTTGCCCAAAGTTTTATGATTTATTTCTAGGTTCAGAAATCACTTTTTTTTTTGAGTAAAACTATAATGCTCTAAATGGAATTAAGCTGAAGCATAACCTGTGAAAGCAGCGTTTTTCTTTGATTAAAGCCAGTAATGTATTCTATATTAATTCTACACGCTTGCTTTCACATTTAATAGAATTAAAAGATTATTTTAAAAAACAAACCAATGCTAAACAGCTAAAGATCGTTCTAAGAGAATGCAGCCTATTTCTACTAAGACATCAAGCATGCATGCATTCTATCAGTTCTGCAAGCACATCTATACGGTAAATGACTTGGAAATTAAAATCACTAGTTTTCAGTTATTGAGTTATTCCATGAAGTACAAAATTAATTTTCTTCCACTCACAACTTTTTCAGTTGAACAGTGTGCCCTAACGAAGTCCAAGCAACCTTTAAGAAGCCTTAGAGCAATTTCTTCTGCTTTGCAAAAAATCTTACATATGTTACAAAGCGAGATGTTAAACTCTATTGGGCAGGACTATAACTAAAAATAAGTTAGTTTACCTAATAAACTGCATCCCTGCTGGTAGGAACAAACTGGCCTATAAAAGACTGAAATGCTCTACTAAAAGTATATTGCATGTGTTGTGTAGCATTAACAACAAACTGTGTCAGCTAATATCTGCAAAGTAGACATGAAAAAATAGCCTGGTATATGCAATGTTTTTATTTTTGCCTTTTCTACAAGCCAGTTAGAGTGGATGTCCTTCACAGATAAACACAAATTGATATATATTTGATTCTACCTTGCCATGCACTTTCAGTAACAGTTTATACCATACGACAGGAATAAAACTAAGTTTATTGTTTCCATAGCTATGATTTATTACGAACCTCTTAAAATTTCAGATTCTTCTTAGTATTCCAGGTCTCAGAATCAGATTTTCACCTAAGAATCACAACCTGAAAATATTTTAGTTTACCTGGTTGTTTGAAAACCCTTGAGAGACAGGGATTTTACATGGTTTATTACAGATAGGCAGGAAAAAAAAATTGTTTTGGTCATATTATTTTAAAATAAGCCTAAGAGATTTAAAATAACAATCCCAGTGTCATCACCTCAATTACTCTTAGGACTCTGACACCACAGAAAAAAAACCACATTTAGGCTGCGGAATGCAATGACATCTAACTACTAACTTGCAAAGATAATCAGGAATTTCCCAGAAGTGTTTTTCTCAAGAGGAAAGTTTTAGTTCTGCAGTTCCACTTCCTCTCACCTCTGTCACCTCTTCTCCAAAAGGCAGTGGTCAAGAAGGGGAAATATAAGTGACTTAGGAGGGGACGGAGAGAGAATATATAAAACCCTACAGGTCTCAGGCAGACCTTTGGTTTCCTTCAGTGTCTGGGGTTGACTCCTACCACATTTCAGAGCTGGACTGTCTAGACTGGAGCAGCTAGCCCCTTCCCCTAGCCTAGGGGGGTTCACTAACATATCCAACTTCCTTTCAGGACTTAATGCTTAGACAAAATATATACTTAAAAATTGTTTCTCCTACCCATGTTGAATGACTTTTTAAAAATCTCTTCAGTTCACTTGTTCTTGAGCCTGCTGTAGTCACCTCTACTTTTTTCCAGCTAACACGCTATCCGATTTTATGAGCAGCTGTCCCTTTTTCCAGTGTGTCTAAAAAAAAAAAAAAAAGAGCAAGCTCTAAATTCTCCAGGTCATTAAGAGGCAGGCAAGCAGCCGATGAGCTAATTTTATCTGAATCTTAGCAGCACTTTCTGACATCATACTGAACTGCTTGGTATTGAAACCTCTTGGTAATATTCTGCACCTACTTACAACGCTGCAATGGAAGTTACATTTGAGACCTGTTGTGGTCAAGAGGCTTCTTTGGTACATGAGAGCAATTAATCAAAATGATAATTTGGTGCCTAACCCTTGGTATTCTTCATATAAAAAGACTGCCAAATGAAGAAATGAAGGCATGAGATAACTGCGCTACCAATCATCAGACCAGGCAAGTAAAGTTCGGTTTCAAAATGGCCATACCAAAGCCCTTTCAATTTAGGATTGTCAAAATACTAAATTTTTATATATTTCAACTTTCTGTTCTCAAAACATTTGCTAAAGCATAAGAGGCTTCAGCAGTGCTACAGTTCTGGCTTTCAACCCACTTGCCATTGGGAATGTTTGCGTTTTTACAATTGGCATTTTACTTCAAGGGAGGCTGGTTTGACTTTGCATTGTACACAGATAAATGAGTGCAGGAAAGATAAAGCGATGGACAATATTGCTATACCATAACGTGCAGATTTTTTAAGCCATTCTACATAGATTAGACTCCACCATGAATGTGAAGCAACTGCCATATTAGAAGCAGAAAACAACATTTAGCCTGATCTGTTTAAAACCTCTCTGCTTTAAAGTTTGATCAAAAAACCCACCCCTTGTATTCAGTCACTGAAATACAGGATCAGACCATGCACTGCCCCACCTCCACCACTCTGCACTGAGGAATAGATCCTGCTTTCCTTTTGCACCAGATGGAAACACACCGAGTACTACTGTTTTTGAGAAGTTAGGAAATATAGACTTTAAAACGCCAAATGATTCTTTACGGGAAGGCCAAACACACTACAACTGGCTAGCAACAGAACAACGCGTTAACACTTGGAAATGGAAGTCTCTTCCAAATGCTCATCGTTATCTGCTTATAGCCTGAAATACGGAGTTTGTTTACTCCAAGTCAGAAATAATACCTACAAACATTACCAGTTAGAAAATTATCTGGTCACTCGTGCTTGAGCCAGACAGAGTATTACTGCAAAGGGATGAAATTTCAGTTAAGTCAATGGAGTTGTGCCAGTGCTCAGTTTAGTGAGGTCACCCAGTGCGGTCTTATGCCTGTAAATTAAAAGTCTGATGGAAGAACTTATTTCATGTTTTAACTGTAAGTATGATTAACTTCACGAAGACCCCCCCGCCCCATTCTTTTCGCCATTGACTTTGATTCTACAATAATTGCTGACACTAATTCTACAATACTTTGGTACTATCTTACAATAAGAAAGCATCCGTACTGTAATACTTCATTTTTCCTCTGCAGCAAGTAGTTCATGCCTGAAATGAGTGGGTATTCTATACTGATGGAGAAAAATCCTGCTTAAAGGGACATTTCTAAACCCACACAGCACACCACCTGTGGATGTCTCTGAAGCAGCCCACTCCTTGTACAATACAGTCACGCTGGCTAGCAGCCACCGTGGTACTGCTGGGAGCTTTGCAGCGTGAAGAACAGGCAGGCTGGCAAAACAATCTCTGGTTTTGTTATGCCTGAGACTGCAAAGCACAATTTGCTTCTGTCTTGAGCTTCATATACTTCAGTCTTGTTGCAGCATTCTCATATGAAACTGACAGACATATATTAGCACACACTTTTTTAGACATACCAAGTTCATCAAAAAAAGGCAGAAATCACTGAAAAACAGAAAGTGGACTGTACTATTTTGTACTCTCAACAGTGTTCATGAGATTTCGTTTCACTGGGCCATAAACTTAGCATATGATATGCAAAATCCACCACTATATCCTTAGACTGTTTTTCTGTTGACTTAAATTTCACACAGACGAGGATGTTTATTAAAAGTAACATTGAGACTCTGACTTGGCTGTAGAGTTCTCTCTCTAGTATTCTACTTTTAACACGTTTCTTGAGTGACCAAATAGATATGGGAGGCTTTTTAGTAAATATGCAACTCAGTCTTTGGTCATAAGGAAAACAACAAAGAGAAATTCAGCTTGTAAGTGAGCATGTTACTTTAATATACATATTTAAAAGAAACATAAAAGTTTAAGTATTGCTGCTTAAATTTGGGGGTCTGTCCCACTAATTTAGGAATTCCATGGTTTAAGAATTGCATATCAGTGTAGTACACGAGTTTTCCATTCTAATATCTCAAGAAGGATAGCTGGTTAAATGAATTAAAATGGAATTGATGAACCATATTCTAATTTTCTAGTTAATGTAAGACAGTACTGTACAAAATGCTATATATATTGACCATTTAGTTCTCGACATTGCTGCCTTACTAGCTAATTCTCAAATTGGGGAGATCAGCTAAAAATCCAGAACATGGGAACATCACAGCTTCTGAAGGAAGCAAGGAGATGGAATCCCCCAAAAGAAAAACATTAACTGGAACCGATAAATAACCTACGTAAAAATCCAGAGCTGGCTGTATTCTTACAAAACAATGTTGTGAATATGTCCTCAAAGTGAAAATTGCGCAGAGCACAAAGGTACAGAAACAGGACACAGCAATCAATACAGGAAACTAAAATAAATAGTAACAAATATGCATCAAGAAAATGGAAAAAACAGTCATGCACAAGATTCCCATCGGGACTACTCCAGTGAGTGCTCCAGAAAGTCAACTCATTCATGGAAGTCCTTGCTGGAAGGCACTGCTGAGCTTACGTTACTTGAGCCTTTCATAATGTTGGCCCTGCTGGAATGCATTCCCAGCAGTCACCGTGACAAGATCTTTACGCACCACAGCCGCTACGATAAAAAATAGAACAGAAAAACAAGAAATGAAAAGGAAGCAGACAACTATAATAAAGTATCTTTAAACGCATGCAAATATGACTTGTCCTTCACTTCTAGGTTGAAAGACAATTGCTGAAGGATAAACTAACAAAATTTTGACAAAAAACATAAGAAAACCAGGCATTTCTCACTGTATTATGGATGGAGGTCAAGAGCTAATTTAAAAAATGATAAATTGAATCATATACTAAAATGATGCTTCTGCTAATCTGCAAAAATGTGGTACAGAATCACAGAATCACAGAACGGCTGAGGTTGGAAGGGACCTCTGGAGATCATCTAGTCCAACCTCCCTCCTCAAGCAGGGTCCTCTAGAGCACATTGCCCAGGATCACATCCAGATGGGTTTTGAATATCTCCAGGGAAGGAGACTCCACCACCCCTCTGGGCAACCTGTGCCAGTGCTCTGTCACCCTCACAGCAAAGGAGTTTTTCCTCAGGTTCAGATGGAACTGCCTGTGGTTCAGTTTCTGCCCATTGCCTCTTGTCCTGTCGCTGGGCACCACGGAGAAGAGGCAGCCCTCTAATCATCTTGGTAGCCCTCCGCTGGACTCTCTCCAGGAGTGCCATGGAGCAGTCTTGGACTGGGGAGCCCAGAACTGGACACAGGACTCCAGGTGAGGCCTCACCAGGGCTGAGGAGAGGGGCAGGATCACCTCCCTCCACCTGCTGGCCACACTCTGCCTAACGCAACCCAGGAGACCCTTGGCCTTCTTGGCCACAATAATGAATTTTGCTGCCTCATGCTTGACTTGTTGTCCACCAGGACTCCCAGGTCCTTCTCTGCAGAGCTGCTTTCCAGCAGGTCAACCCCCAGCCTATCCTGGTGCCTGGGGTTATTCCTCCCTAGGTGCAGGACCCTGCACTTGCCTTTGTTGAACTTCGTGAGGTTCCTCTCCGCCCAGCTCTCCAGCCTGTCCAGGTCCCTCGGAATGGCAGCACAGCCTTCTGGTGTGTTAGCCTCTCCCCCCAGTTTAGTATCATCAGCAATCTTGCTGAGGGTGCACTCTGTCCCTTCCTCCAGGTCATGGATGAATACATTGAACAAGACTGGACCCAGGACTGACCCCTGGGGGACACCACTAGCCACAGGCCTCCAACTTGCCCCTGCGCCTTTCACCACAACCCTCTGAGCTCGGCCATCCAGCCAGTTCTCAAGCCACCTCACCGTCCACTCATCTAGCCCACACTTCCTGAGCTTACCTAGGAGGATGTGATGGGAGACAGTGTCAAAAGCCTTGCTGAAGTCCAGCATTCTGGACTGAATGCTGAAGTACATTCGTATATGTTTTTATTGCTTTCAGATATTATCAAATACACAGGAAATAGATGTATAAAAGCAAAAATATATGACCTCTGAAATTAAATCTAATAGATCTCTAAAATAATCTAAAAGATGTAAAACTCTAAAAGGATGTAACAATCTCTAAAACTGGAACATAATCAAAAATGTTCAGTGTTGTATATCTTTGAGCTTATATATTTCAATTTCAGTATCTCTTACATAGAGATAAGAAAACTGAGCTGCGTAAAACAAGAACTACCAATCATTTTACTTAAGTCTATATTTAGCATTTGCTGCATTGTGCTTTAATTACTGAAACTACCTCTAGAGAAGCATTAAAATATCACTAGAAAAAATGGTTTGTACTCATCATTCTACTATGCCACTGGAGGCACATAAAAAGTTCAGAACAAAGCTTCACCTTGCAAGACTCCCAGATCACTTCTGAAGCATAAAAAAAGTTCTAACATTGGAATGAATGATCAACATTTTGTTTCTCTCAGCTGAGCCTCTTGAAGTTTATCATCATAAACAAAAGATGATCTATTACAGATTCAGATTTGGATGAATGGAACATGTTTTTAGTTTTGTTTCTTCTTGACCAACATTAGCTAATTTAGTAAATGCAGTAGCAGCCATTGGGCTAGCAAGTCAAATTGTCAGCTAAACAGATCCAGCTATCTAGTTTGAATTGGATCTCCCTAGTATCTAATAAAGTACCTAATTTTCCCTGACTGGACTATTTAACACAATCTTTCAAATAATTTTTAAATATCGTTTTAT